GACGGAGTTCGACTTTTTGAAGGTCAAAACTAGTGTTACATCGGTGAATCGAAATATTTATCAGAGGATGTTATTAGTGTAAGTAGCGGGCAATGACAATTTAGAGAGATATTATCGGTTTTGATCGTAGCAAATTTGGGTGTTTGGCATGAACGTACACGTGTGAGTACACGCGTACACACAGGCCTACATACATGTACATGTACATTGTACATGTACGTACACACGTGTAGGCTATGCGTAAAACACAATTCAGTTTGTACATCACGTACATGTATGTACGCTGTCTCCTTATCTGCTTATCAATAAGACAATATCAATGCATGGAAAGAAATAAAATTAGCCCCGACGCCACTGTTTATAATAGGCCTATCATCTCAATATAAAGGTCAGTCATTGCAAAAATGAAAAGACATGAATCTGGGATTGAGAAACATTTTCAATGAAACTGAGTGTTAGGAAATGAACATTGTTTTAAAAATAGTAATTTTTTTTTTTAGTTTTAGATTAGAACCAAGTGGTGTCTGGATACTACTGACAACATTCTTTCCAAAGTGTCAAGACATAAGCATGATAAGTGCCAGGACTGCTGTAGAAATAGGACGTAGGACTAGCATGACTAGGCCTAGTTGTAAATAACTGACGACCAGAGTAGACCGTGATGATTCCACAGGAACAATGATTGATGAAAACAATTTATTTACAATTAGGCTACTTCAATTACATACTTATCCAACACAGTTTGTACAACATGTCCAATGTACCCTACATGTCGGACACAATCACTGAATCAGTTAATTATGATGTGCATGTGCTGTCGATGGTGATGCTATGGAGCCGATTCTTTAAATTCACAACTCGGGAGGATTTGTTTTAGAAAATGAAGTTAAATCCAAGATTTCTGTCATAATCGACAGATAGTGCCCAAGACAACGTATATTTATGCAACATCTAATTTTGGATTGTTGTAAAAGCTAAAAATAAAAAAATGTAAGGCCAAGGGGACATATTAAATTGCAAAGAATAGTAGTAGTACTGATACAGACATGACAGTGATGTATAGGCTGGTCAGAAAAATTAAACAGTTGCAGATGATCACTAGACAATTTCTTAATTTATTTTTTGGAATCTTTCCGTTGTGTCTAAATTACTCTCTTTTTTGTGTGAAGATGTACATGTGTACATTTTTATTCACACGTTTTGCAGTTGCTTTTTCCTTTTTGGGGGTGAAGGGATGTTGAGTTGACTAGGTCTATGTGCACATGTACTGTGATGGCGCATTTATACACTATATAATTAAGTTACAAAGAGGGGAGTATGGCCTATGTGGTTACAATTCATGACTCATAATCAAGAGAGTCAGAGGTTCCAATCCAGCTGCTGTTATATCATATGATGTGTCCATAGGCAAGCCACTTCATCACCCTTGCCTCTCTCCACCCAGGAGTATAAGTGGGTACCGGCATTAGCTGGGGAGTAACCTGCAATAGATAGGGGTGATAGAAACTATTTTCAGTAGTTTAATGCTACTGAAACCGAATATAAACACCGCCCTGATGAGCAATATTGGCTCAAGACAGACTGTACTTGCATTTAAGGAGGATATTAATGTGCATTATTTTATTGCAATCAGTTGTTACTACAATTTTGTACAATTATTCTTCCTTTTTTCTGCTTGAGGTCTGGATGCATGCCCTCACTTCTGGGGTGGTTGTGGTGTGATGACGTCGCATGATGCTGAGCAACTTCTGAAGTGGATCTCGCATTCCTTGAACAACTCGTCCTGCCCGGTTGAACTCGGTATGCACAAGTTCCCCTCCCTGTTCGTTAAGAAGACCAAACCCTACTTTGTACATAGCAAGCTGTTGTGTTGCATGGTCCTCCAGCAAATGCATTTTTGGGCTGATGTTCACACCTGGAAAGGAGGACCTAAAGCACCGCATAAATTCTTGAATGCTGACATCTGCAACAAAGTGCAAGGAATGGGCAGAGTATCAAAAAAATGAAATGGCTGAATAAAAGAAAAAGTCTACTTAATGCTCAAAAGTCAATACATGACAAGAAATTATTTTTTCTTGACAGATTGGATTAGTAAGTATCCAAATAATAAAGCCATATTTTTAGTTCACATGAGGTACAACTCACAAAAAATGAAAATTCTTTTTGGTGTTATTTTTTTTTTTTTTTAACAGGTGTTTTCCCCGATGTTTTGATGAATACAGCTTTGACCAGGCTGTAACAGGTGAGGTCAACAGACAGCAAGACCTACAGACCCAACTTATGAAGAAGAGAAGGCACCTTTTACTCCATCAGCTGCAAGGTCACAGACCACGTGCAAACAAAATGCTACTAAAAGAATGCAAAAATGCAAAAAATACGCACCAATTTTCTGATTGTCTTCAGGTGTGATTGGATTTGAATGGTTAATTCCATGATGAATATCAGCAAACTTGAGAAAAACTTCCTCAAATTTGTTACAGATATTGGCTGCTTCCCGGCTCAACCTTTCAAATGCCGCAATGGGAATGTCATCAATGTACACGCGTACACACAGGCCTACATACATGTACATGTACATTGTACATGTACGTACACACGTGTAGGCTATGCGTAAAACACAATTCAGTTTGTACATCACGTACATGTATGTACGCTGTCTCCTTATCTGCTTATCAATAAGACAATATCAATGCATGGAAAGAAATAAAATTAGCCCCGACGCCACTGTTTATAATAGGCCTATCATCTCAATATAAAGGTCAGTCATTGCAAAAATGAAAAGACATGAATCTGGGATTGAGAAACATTTTCAATGAAACTGAGTGTTAGGAAATGAACATTGTTTTAAAAATAGTAATTTTTTTTTTTAGTTTTAGATTAGAACCAAGTGGTGTCTGGATACTACTGACAACATTCTTTCCAAAGTGTCAAGACATAAGCATGATAAGTGCCAGGACTGCTGTAGAAATAGGACGTAGGACTAGCATGACTAGGCCTAGTTGTAAATAACTGACGACCAGAGTAGACCGTGATGATTCCACAGGAACAATGATTGATGAAAACAATTTATTTACAATTAGGCTACTTCAATTACATACTTATCCAACACAGTTTGTACAACATGTCCAATGTACCCTACATGTCGGACACAATCACTGAATCAGTTAATTATGATGTGCATGTGCTGTCGATGGTGATGCTATGGAGCCGATTCTTTAAATTCACAACTCGGGAGGATTTGTTTTAGAAAATGAAGTTAAATCCAAGATTTCTGTCATAATCGACAGATAGTGCCCAAGACAACGTATATTTATGCAACATCTAATTTTGGATTGTTGTAAAAGCTAAAAATAAAAAAATGTAAGGCCAAGGGGACATATTAAATTGCAAAGAATAGTAGTAGTACTGATACAGACATGACAGTGATGTATAGGCTGGTCAGAAAAATTAAACAGTTGCAGATGATCACTAGACAATTTCTTAATTTATTTTTTCGGAATCTTTCCGTTGTGTCTAAATTACTCTCTTTTTTGTGTGAAGATGTACATGTGTACATTTTTATTCACACGTTTTGCAGTTGCTTTTTCCTTTTTGGGGGTGAAGGGATGTTGAGTTGACTAGGTCTATGTGCACATGTACTGTGATGGCGCATTTATACACTATATAATTAAGTTACAAAGAGGGGAGTATGGCCTATGTGGTTACAATTCATGACTCATAATCAAGAGAGTCAGAGGTTCCAATCCAGCTGCTGTTATATCATATGATGTGTCCATAGGCAAGCCACTTCATCACCCTTGCCTCTCTCCACCCAGGAGTATAAGTGGGTACCGGCATTAGCTGGGGAGTAACCTGCAATAGATAGGGGTGATAGAAACTATTTTCAGTAGTTTAATGCTACTGAAACCGAATATAAACACCGCCCTGATGAGCAATATTGGCTCAAGACAGACTGTACTTGCATTTAAGGAGGATATTAATGTGCATTATTTTATTGCAATCAGTTGTTACTACAATTTTGTACAATTATTCTTCCTTTTTTCTGCTTGAGGTCTGGATGCATGCCCTCACTTCTGGGGTGGTTGTGGTGTGATGACGTCGCATGATGCTGAGCAACTTCTGAAGTGGATCTCGCATTCCTTGAACAACTCGTCCTGCCCGGTTGAACTCGGTATGCACAAGTTCCCCTCCCTGTTCGTTAAGAAGACCAAACCCTACTTTGTACATAGCAAGCTGTTGTGTTGCATGGTCCTCCAGCAAATGCATTTTTGGGCTGATGTTCACACCTGGAAAGGAGGACCTAAAGCACCGCATAAATTCTTGAATGCTGACATCTGCAACAAAGTGCAAGGAATGGGCAGAGTATCAAAAAAATGAAATGGCTGAATAAAAGAAAAAGTCTACTTAATGCTCAAAAGTCAATACATGACAAGAAATTATTTTTTCTTGACAGATTGGATTAGTAAGTATCCAAATAATAAAGCCATATTTTTAGTTCACATGAGGTACAACTCACAAAAAATGAAAATTCTTTTTGGTGTTATTTTTTTTTTTTTTTTAACAGGTGTTTTCCCCGATGTTTTGATGAATACAGCTTTGACCAGGCTGTAACAGGTGAGGTCAACAGACAGCAAGACCTACAGACCCAACTTATGAAGAAGAGAAGGCACCTTTTACTCCATCAGCTGCAAGGTCACAGACCACGTGCAAACAAAATGCTACTAAAAGAATGCAAAAATGCAAAAAATACGCACCAATTTTCTGATTGTCTTCAGGTGTGATTGGATTTGAATGGTTAATTCCATGATGAATATCAGCAAACTTGAGAAAAACTTCCTCAAATTTGTTACAGATATTGGCTGCTTCCCGGCTCAACCTTTCAAATGCCGCAATGGGAATGTCATCAGATTTTGTGCTGGCAATAACTTCCAGGGGCACAGATGTGAAATCTTTGATGACATGGACCTGAAAGCCAAAACAAAAACAAAAAAAACCAGAAACTACAAATTCTTTTCTTTGTATTGCCAAAGGTAGTTAATTATGCATTGTACTGACAAACCACTGAAGTCAGTGCTCACCTGACAACACTTATGAACGTGATTTCCCACGAAGGCTTTGCCATGATAGGCTTGTCGGCAAACGTTGTGTTTGACAAGAGCACTATCAAGGCTGCTGGCTATTGGTCCAGTGCCGAAAGGGAGTTGCACATTTTGGGATTGTTGTTCCTGTAAAAAAAGAGAGGTGAATTTTATAAGACAACATGTGTTCAAAGTCTGCAGATAATGCAATAATGGAACTACCTGTACAGATGTGAACACATTGCTTTTGCATACATGTGCATTCTTGAAAACCAACAAGTGTGTGTATAACTACATGTGTAAACATCACACAAACCATATTTGGATTATATCTCACCAAGTCATTAATCTCAGCTCGAAGTTGACCAGCTCTGTGGACAATCTCTCTGAATGCATTGTTTGCACGTGTTGTTTGACCTTGCAGCTGATGGAGAGGAAGGTCATCCTCTATCTGCTCAAGCTGCTCCCTCTTCATCTCAAGTTGGGTTTGAACATCTCTCTGTCTGTTGACCTCAGCTGTTACGGCCTGGTCAAAATTGTACTCGTCATCATTGTCATCAGCACCCTCAATTCGCAGCTTGAACAATTTGGTGTCAAGGTTGTGGCATTCCAGCTCGTACCGATCAAACAACTTCTTAAACACCCCGAGAGAGATGTGCAGGCTCGGCAAAATAACCTGTTGTATATAAAGGTAAAACAAATGTATGCTCTAATTGACATGTTGATATAAGTGTGCAGATTGCTTTGCAGTGACATGCACATGTACATACATACTTAAGAGAGTGATACAGATTACTTAAGCTTACACGTACATGGTCAATGTCGATGTTCAGCATGGGGGAGTCAATGACGCTGAAGGACACATCCTTGCCCTGGTTTTCCTACAGCCATCTTCTACAAAAAGGCTGTAGTTGTGGCATAAGGACTGGAGTGTCCGCTTCGGTGATGGACCCCTGCCTCCAATGGGCTTCTGCATGGCGTCCTTGCTGGCCAAGCAGTAGAGGCAACAGTGCCGAGCTTTGAACAAGAACAAGTTCATATTTTGAAAAGGGCTGATACTTAAAATGCCATTGCATACATTGAATGAAAAACAAAGAACATTCTTTGCAAAAAAAAATCATGTACAATGTACACATTCATGCATTACCATTTGCTCCATGGATGCCATATAGCTTTGTTAAGAGCTCATAGTCACCGAAGCAGAATAGACGGATGGTGTGCCCTCTAGAAAAAATAATGGAAAGCCAAAAATGAATTTGCATGATGCCATATTCATAATGTCTGATAAAATCAGGTCGAATTTACATCAACAACACACCACAAATATCCACCAGTCAAGCTTATAAAAAGAAATCAGAACAAGTGATAAAGTGAAAAAGTGAACTTACCTCCATTGTTGTTCAGTCAGTTTGTTGATCTGGCTGGCGATTTTTGGTAGTGTTCTTTTCAAATTCTGGGTTGAGTCATTCCCCTCATAGCATGCAAACACTACCGTATTTTGAAGGCTGTTTGGATTCTGTACATTGACTATTTGATATTCCATCTTGAAAGACGAACCCCCTTTATCGCCCCCTATTTTGACCAAAATTTCACTAGCAGGAATCACACCGTTGTGCCAGGTCAGGGAGCCACACCTGTTAAAGTACATGTATATAAAACAGAGTGAAAACAATCGTTGTTCATACATGTACTTATAAGTTGTACCTCATTTGTACTCAGATAGATGTACAGTTTTTTTATTTGGATACTCACTCATCCAGTCTGTCAAGATAATCAAACACCATCTTGCCAAGATCATTAATGCTGGCGTAGGGTACCATCCGCATTTCAAAGCCCTGAGTCGCATCAGCTTTAGTACTGGGGAACATCAACTCCACCATCTCACCCTCTAGGTAGTCCTTTAGTAGCTCCTTCTGCTGATTTCTCATTGATCTTTCTGATGGTATAGTCGATCCAACATACCTGTCACAGAAAAAAAAACATTTGAAGGAAAAAGTTGAAAAGGATAAATTTACAAATGTACAATATACATGTACATGTACATGTAGTTGTATTGCCCCCCCCCAAAAAAAAATGTATGTTCATGTACATGTCACCTTTTAGAATTGAAAACTTAATATTTAAATAGTCTCATGCACTATCACTTAAATCAACACTTGGATCAGTTACAGTATACATTTTATTTGTTTCGAAACATGTGAGTACACGTGTATTGTGCTGTTCACATGACTAATTGTGTGAAATGTACTTTCTATATTACAGATGGATGGAACAAACTACAATACCTACCTTCGAATTTTCCTGACCTGGTCCCATGCGAGGTGGCAGTCCCTCATCATAGCCAGGGCTCTGTTGGCTTGCTGTTTCTTGGGGGTGGGAGTTGAGGTCTTTTGGCTTTCTTGGGGGTCACTTGTTTTCAATATCTTTGCGTTAGGACATGGTGCATCACATTCTTGTTCTCGTTTACTTCTGGATACCTGTTGAATATGTGCAGGCTGATGGAAAAAAGCAACCAAAAAAAAATCACTACTGCAATTTTCAATTATATTTATTTCATTCATGCAACTTGCAATTTCTATTTTGTTTAGACAATTGACATTTATTGAAAAGCTTTACAGAAATATTTATTAAATAATTGATCTATTAAATTATTCTCTAGTCAATCTTTTAATTAACATGCTTGTTAATTAATTAACAGACTAATATATTTGTAGTTACTGAAATTGCAACAATTTTTTAAGTATGTAAATATCCACCACATTCTGGTTTCATTTAATCTTACCCGTCCTCCTGTGTTCAAAGTTGCCTCTTTGTTGAGCTGTTGTAGCTTTAGCCACGTCCATCTATCAGTTGCACGTTCTATTTCGTAGGGTATCGGTTGACCCCTTTCGTGTTTAAGGGCCTCCTCTCTCAAGATTTTGGCTGCGTTTGCCACTGATAAGGACTCTGATAAGGACTCTTGGCCATCTACAAAATTAGTTGACTTGACAATTGTCACCTTTGGTAGAGGAGTTGCAGGATTTTCACATGTATGGTGAAGTATTTTTTCAGACTTTCCTATTTTGTTGCACTGGGTACACACTAAATGTAAGTTGTTTAGCTGTACATTTAGGATTCTAGAACTGCGGGCTACCTGTTGGAAATCAATTTGTTTCTTGCATACAGGACATGGTACATCTGACTGTTTGCGAAACTGAAAGTACTTGGTGAGGCACTGTACACAAAAATTGTGTTCACAAGGAGACTCTAGGCATGGGGATGGCAATAAACAAAGGCAGATGGGGCATGTAAAAAGGGAATGTTCCTCATGTCTGCCAAGTATCTCAATGTATGGTTCAGTCTCTGTGACACTGTCAATAATGCCAGAGAAAATGTTGATAGATACAGCAGAGAATGGTAGATCACCGAGTAGGGATGATGATTGTTTTCCAACAACTCGTTTAGATTTTTTGGGTCTTCCTCCTTGGAGTGATCGTTCAAATCGTTCACATACAGCACAACTGCCTAGTCTAGGATGTTTTGCCCAAACTATTTCAGCTACTCTGCTATTATTGTATTCCTGAGTTTGTGCCTGGTAGTGCCTTACTTTCCTAGAACAGTTTTCACAGAGGGAATTTGGGTGTTGATCTGGTACATCAGTCCATGTGCTTATCTGAAAGACAGCAAATATCTCCTTCCTGTTGTCCTTGCACAAAGTTGGTCCTCGTTTTGAAATTGTCAGTTGCCTGGCTGATGCAGTTCTACCTCCACATACTCTACACAGTTTAGAAATAACCTCTCTGTGGTGATCGAAACTCCAAGCTCTGTACATATTTAGCCTTCCACATAGTAGATATTGTGAACAGTAATTTATGATAACACAATAAATAAAAGCTTAACTTTACGAAGAAAATATTGCCATGATATCCATCCTGTTTTGTGTTGACCCCGTTCATGCGTGTGAAGCAACGCGAAGTAACTGTGGTGTGTACATGTATGTGTACATGTATTTGTATTGCTTTTACGTGTTTAAATTTCGCGCGCAATGTATGTGTACATGGTTTTCGCATAGTCGCCACACAGAAACAAGGCGAGAGATCGTGAAATTGGGGGAAAACATTCGCCCTTTAAAAAAAATAGCGTCATTGCCCGCTGAATCTTATTCAATAAATTTACAAAGTGGGTCTTACTCTGGATGTAACTGAGTTTTTATATTTTACTAAAATGTAGAACTGTAAGAAAATGGGTTTTCAAAACAACATCAAATTTCAACTGTTTTTTCCGAATTCATTTCAATTTTCACGAAGGTAACGGGTTGAAAGTTCGCTTATTAGAACTTTCCCTCTCAAAAAGTACTCAAAAGCATCAAAAGATGAAAGAACTTTTGTTGTTTCAAGTTCAGCCTGCCAAAAAAACGATTCATTAAAAGGTTTCAATGTGTAAAATTGACACGGAATGTAATTTTTCGTCGTTTGTTTTCAGCGGCTGCGCGTGAGTCGCCATGTTGGTGCGTGACGTCACGCGCGTTACTGGAGTAATGTTTGTGCAAAGCGCAATTATATTGAACAATCACATCACAGGGACTTTTTTACGCACGGCCTATGGGAGCGGAACAGCCGTGCATGATGCTGAGCAACTTCTGAAGTGGATCTCGCATTCCTTGAACAACTCGTCCTGCCCGGTTGAACTCGGTATGCACAAGTTCCCCTCCCTGTTCGTTAAGAAAACCAAACCCTACTTTGTACATAGCAAGCTGTTGTGTTGCATGGTCCTCCAGCAAATGCATTTTGGGCTGATGTTCACACCTGGAAAGGAGGACCTAAAGCACCGCATACATTCTTGAATGCTGACATCTGCAACAAAGTGCAAAGTGCGTGGCCATAACCCCCTCCCATTCCTTTTCGCCGATAGAGTAGCAACGCATCGATATAGAAAAATGTAAAACCAGTTTCTATAAGTCCCCTGACTCTTGTAGAATACAAAAATATAACTTACGAGTAATTTAAGATCTGACTAATTAACTTAAGAGCGGTGCGAATAGCTTGGAGGGGGCGGGGCTACCACCCCTCCAAGCATATTTTCGCTTATATCATCGCAACGCATTCTGTTAATTCTGTCAAATTTTCCTGGCATGTTTGCCGATGCCTTTTGGCTATTTTGTATCCATTTCTAACAAAATAAAGCACACTGTTCCATCAAATGTCATTGCCAAATGAAGTAGGTTATGTTCAATATGTACAGTACATTGTACATTACATGTGCTGGGTCGGACCTTATAGTATAAAAAGGGTACAGATAATGAAAACTTACAAAACGGGTTTTTTCCCATTCCATTTCCCTTGTTTTTGTATGCTTTGACAGACACTTTGACACTGGTTAATATATTCATACATGGTAGTACATGTTATTTTCACTCTTCTGTGGGCGTGGCCTAAATATTTAAATCAGGGTGTGAATAATTGCATTCTGGATGAAACGAGGAAAATGTATGATTTTGCAGGCAAAGCACAGAGTCAGCATTGTTGAATAATGATTATTGTGCATTGTTACTTTCATTTTTAATCATTTTATATAAGTCAACAAAATAAACTGGTCTTATGTTTTGAAATAGGCACGTATTTTCTGTGGTAAATAACTGTGATACTATACTCTGTAGGCCTACATGTACAGCGTTTATAATGTATATGAAAACGTTGATGAAGGGTAAATTCCATCGTTTCAATAGTTTTGGTGCAGTGCCAGCAGGGGCCACGGAACCGGGGTGGGGTGGGGGGGGGGGGGAGAGACACTCGGATTTTTCCAGGTCATCAAAAGTGCCCCTTTCGTGGTTATAAATGTACCCCATCGATATGAACAACAAAACTGCCCCTCCAACGCACACGTTTAAGCATAATCGCACTGTAGCAAATAAAGCAGTCACTGAGCTGGCCATCAAAAGCAACAGTGCCCCTCTCACGATAAAAAAAATTGGTCTCTCTACATACCTTTAGTCAAATTCATGGGGGGGGGGGGACCCACAGAGGTTACTGGCAGGAGCGGAGGACGTATAATGTGCCGTGTGCCGAAGGACCAAGGGCGGATCCAAGAGGATGAGGGGCAATGGGCCCATGCCTCCCCCACAATTGTATTTGAAGTGATAATAAAATACAGTAACGAACCCAATTGTATTTTTAGTGATGTCATAAAAAAGGCAGCCACTACGTACACCATCTTTTCCTAAAAACAAATTGGTTACAGTGTTCAGAAATTGCCTCAGATCTCACCACAGAGCATATAGAATCCATTTTATTCCGGGGCCTTAAGCGGGCCCTGAACCCAACGTGCCGAAATTTTGTGGACCCACTTATTGGGGGACCACATTTTTCTGCAAAAAAAAAATGAGTTTCAGATCGGCCATTGCGGAGGCCGAAGAGCTCTCACTTTCACACCGACTGAAGGTGCCCCATTTTCTGAGCAGTTGCCCCTTTTTGGTGTTGCTCCCCCCCCCCCCCCCCCGTTTGAAAAGCATTCCGCCGTCCCTGCCTGCTGGTACCGTACATCAGATTCCAACTAGACAAACTTGTTTGTTTCTGCATTCAATAGGGGACGTTGAACATTATTGGGTTTAACAAATACAAAACAAATGGGATGTCTTCTTAAAAAGTAAAAGTAATAACAAAAGAGGGACAATTTCGACGATTGCACGTAAATACACACTTTGGGCGGTACGTCACCACGTTATGGGAAAGTTTCTTTTAAAATTTTTATGCAAATTTTAGGAATGAGATCTGTCGACTTCCTGCTGTCCTCTCAGTTTTCTGTCCCTACAAATACATCCTAGCAACAAGTGTTTGTCCCCATCACTACAGAACAAGAAAGGTGCATTTGAACGCACCCGGGAGCAAAGGGAGAAAGTAGGGGCAATGGTAAGTCATTAGAAATTCGACCCGACGAGGAAAACGCTACATGTATTTAGTTAAATATTTCGGAACCGAAGCGAACAGAAAGGAAGAAGGGACGTATAAAAGTGGCAGGTGTATTACATTCGTGTGAGTACACAGCGTTTAAAAATACAATATTATTAAAACTCAAAATGGCATTTACAAGAATAATGTATGGGGCCAGCACACAAAAGAGGGATTATTGGAGTTGATGAGAGATCCACAGGTGAACATAGTATGGAGAAGAAATGACCGGCAACGAACAAAAGAGATTTGTTTGGGCGAGGATAAACGGAATGGGGTGGGGGTTGAGAGAGATATCAGGCTGGGGTCAAAGAGAGTGGCAAGAAGTGGGATCAAAGGAGACTTAAAAATTGGGTATTTTTTTCCTCCTGTGCCCCCTCCTTCCCAACCCCCTCCCCTCCATTCTCACCAAAGCATAATTCCCTATGTATCTCCCCCTCCTTACTCTTTATCTCTCTCATATGTTTCTCCATCCATCCCTACATGCCCGTGTGTCCCCCATGGCACGTGTTTCTTTATATACATACCGGTACCAGTACCACTGTCATTTGTCAGCAAAATTACAAATTGACCTCGTTTGAATCAGAGTGCTCTTAATCACACCCCGATTTACATATTAAGGCCACGCCCACAAAAGGGTAAAATAACAAGTGTTATAACGTAAGAATGTTTTACCTTGTGCCCAAATGTATTTTAAAGCATAACTGAACAGGGGAAAATGTGCAAAAAAACCCGTTCTTGTAAGTTTTAAAGTGTTTACTATCCGTACCCTTTTCTATAAGCTCCGACTCCAGCACGTGTAATCTAATGTACATGTACTGCTATCCTGGTCAATAGCCTATTTGTTTTGGGAAATAGACATTTGATGAGAACATTGTGTTTTGTTTTTTTTAGAAATGGGTACAAAATAGCCAAAATGCATCGGCAAACATGCCAGGAAAACTTGACAGGATTAATAGAATGCGTTGCGATGATATAAACGAAAATATGCTCGGAAAGGGGGGTGGCCCCGCCCCCTCCATGCTATTGGCATCGCTCTTAAGTTAATTAGTCTGATCTTAAATTACTCGTAAGTTACCTTTTTATTTTCTTCAAGCATTAAAGCACTTATAAAAACGGGATTTACATTTTCCATATCGTGGCGTTGCAACTGTATCAGCGAAAAGGAATGGGAGTGGGTTATGGCCACGCCCCCTCCTATACAGGTTTGTCATGTCTGGCGGGCACCTTCCACCACTGAAAATGTCTGGCAGTGGCCATTCATGATACCTGGGACTAGGCCCAACATTTTCCGGTAGGTTTCATAGGGTTAACTCACCAGCTGATCTAGCTCAATTTTGTGGCCCCTTTCTTGTGGCCCTCCTGACCATACCCACCACAGTGTGCCCGGCAGACGTCCTAACTTTCCACCTAGGCTGACCCCCCCCCCCCCCCCGGCTCCCGGTCTACGCGGGGCTTGTGTATTTCATAGTTTTTCCCCCGACTTTCCGGGGGAGCCAATGAACGATCAAGTTGGAAAGTGGTATGAATTATTCATGATCGTCGATGTACTAGTATATTTATATGCGCAACGTAAGCAACAAGCTACATATGTATGTATGTAGTCGATTATATAATCGTGCTAGCTGCACGCGCACGCAAGCGGGCGCGAAGACGAGTATTGTTATTGTTTTCATGATATTTTAAGGTCAAAAATATACAGCACATGTGTTAAACATACCGAGTGCACCGAGTGGTGGTTGTAACATCATGGCTTCGCCAGCGCGCTGGTGTCTCATTTGTGGCAAGATAATGGTAACTTGCAAACATCATGTCGGGCTAAATATTTCGTCTGCAACCACAATGTCAAGGAGTGTTTTGATCAAAGAAATTGTAAACATCACGAATATGGACACGGAGGAACTGAAATATAAATATGTATGCAATCACTGTCAAAGACAAATAATGAAAACCAGAGCCATTGAAAATGCAAGAGAAGACATTCGACGAAGTTACGTGGCTACGAAAGAAAAATACCTGCCTTCAACTCCTTCGATCACTCCACTCATCACTCCTGTTTCCTCACCACGGGGAAGCTGTCACAAAAAAGGGCAGCACAAGCAAGTCCCGGTACACCGTTGTCAAAGGTAAGAATATATTATCTCCTTTGATTTTTAAATTGATATTCACCATGCCATAATGACATGTGTATTTGATGAATAAATAAAAATGAGGAGCTCCAACTTCAATTCAATTGAGTCTAAGCAGAAATTTGTTAGAATGACACAGTGTCATTACTGGTTGAAAATTGAGTAAGGTAGCATTGCAATGTTAAAATTATCAGTGCTACTAATTAAATTATCATTCATCACCTACATACTCCAAAGTAGTGCCTTTTTAGAAAAAAAATCCTGTGCAACCACATGGTGTCACTGTCAGGGCTGTTCCTACCTCCATGCTGTGTACTTAGTCGTAAAATTCATGGGGAGTAGTGGAGGTAGTCTTCTTAACACAATTTGACCTTGGGCCTAGAAATAGGTAAAGGTCATATAAATATGTAAATATGGAAATATGTAGATATAAATATGAATTAATGGGGTTCTGAAATTCCGGGCACAGTTTGACCTAATGAATGGATGGGATGAATAGGGAATAGGTGTGGGTATAAGGAACCGGGTACAGTTTGACCTATTCTATGGGAAAGATTGCATATATGTATGGAAAAATATTACAATTTTAGGAGAATATGTATCTATATGTAATTGCAACTGAGTGGTGCAATGTGAAAGTACAGCTGGTCGGATCTTTAATCCCCCCAACAATAGACGGGAAGTGGTGTTGTTGTATAACTGTCCATGTGGTCGGTGGACTATGGATTGGTGGTTAATCCGATCGATTGCGCACGAGCCTAGTGGGCTGTCGGCACGTTATGTGGGGATTAATACCGGACAATGGGCTGTAAATGGTGCGCGAATTGGAGGACAGTGTACTACCGATCTCCGAAGTGAATTTCTTGCGACGGCACAATCCTTATAAAGTTAGGGAATTTTAGAATAAAAAAAATCATCGTTCTGAAACAACATCAACATGTCTAACAGAAAGCGAAAACGGTCGGAAACACCTCCACTAGTTGAATTAGCTGAAACAAGCAATCGTTTTTCTCGATTAAATTATCTGGCTTCTGAGATAACGGAGAAACAATTGAGCAAACTGGCGTCTAATCTTTTAAAAGAAAACGATCACGTAGCTACACGATTTGGAGGTCGACCGTGGGAAGAGCTTGTTTCCTTTCTCGGTTTGTCGGCTGCAGATATTTATAAACACCGTCAAGAGAATATGTTTAACGACTGGGCTCAAATTTTTTATTCTTTTATTCAGTGGAAGCATCGTTACTATAAAAATGCCACGATCGAAAAAATAATAATAGGGTGTCAACAGTGTAATATTACTCATAGCGCGTACGACTTTTTGTACCCTAAGTAAAGGTATTTGAAGGGAAAAATATCGTATTTTCGTTTGAACCACCCACGGCGTAGTCAGCTGTGCGTGGAAAGTGCGGTGATTGCACAACATCTTTTCAATGGAAGAAATGGAAGAAATAATCCATTTTTATTGATCTGACATGATCCTATATGCCGTCATTATCTATTTTTTAGGGATGTCGTCACAATCTATTTTTAACCTCTGCGTTTCACAAGATTGCGCAATACCTTCTCCTAAAAGGGTATAAAAGCGCGTGGAACGGAGAAAGAATATCTTACTTGGCGTACAGCACTAAAAGAGGTTGAAGGGGATAAATAGAGCGCTCACGGTCATCCGACAACATCAACGTATACACAACCTGAAAGAAAAAGACAAGATGGCTGCACCGAAGAATTTCTACACTCCACCTACCTCATCATCATCTTCGTCGTTACAGTACGACGCTGCTGGTAGCCGAAACGAAGTACGCGAGTATTACCCTTCCCACGCACAAGCACAGCCCAAGGGGTTAGCCGGTACCGACCCCAAACGACTTGAGCGACTAGAGCAGCGTATGATGACCCGTGCTGAAGATGGAAGTGCACCGTACCCGAATGCCGCCCCAAACAAGAGCCGTCGCGCAGAGATGAACCCATCCGCCAGGTTCGAGCTTACGGGAGTCCGCCACGCCGTGGTAGAACCTTTCCAGGGACAAATTTACATTAAGATTCGGGAGTTCGTTCAAAAGAAAGATAGAGACTTCTGGAGCAGTCCACGAGGCATCAACCTGAGGGTGAACGAATGGAAGAAACTCGTGGAATTGATATCAGCCCGCCATCACCGAAGCTGTTGAAGAACTGGAGGTGAGCATAAATCATAGTCGTTCTTCCGGATTGTTTACCTCCGTTCATCACACATGCAGTTGGCTTCCATTCCAAATACATTACGTTAAATGTTAATGAACTTTTTTTTTTCAATTTTTTTTTTTTTTTTTTAAATTAAGAATCAAGGAAGCAAGAAGATGAAACGTGACGGCGATGCTCAGAGTGATGAGGCTACGCCGGATCCGGAAGATGGCTTTCCATGGGGGTATACGGGTGACGCTGTACCATACACCAAGCCCAGCGGGACACCGGAGGAGCAGAAGGAACGCGAGGCCTGTAAAGACCTTGCATTTAACATAATTCAGTCGATATTCGTTCCTTGCATTCTCAAGAAAGTAGATGAAATGTGTAGCGAGCAATGTTATGGATGTAATCTACCAATAGCCGAAGACTTCACCCAGAAAAATCACGAATGTTTGATGTTGGACGTGTCTGATAAGGTAGAGAGGTACTTTGATAAAGCGGTAGATGACATTTTGGAAACAGGTTTAGGAAAGTGCAGATCGGAGTGGAATACAACCGCTAAAGAGAACAAACGCATTGTCTCACAGTATTCGACTATTCACGCCAGAAATCGTCTTTTTACCAAGTATGTCGATATGCATGTCAAAAAGAGGGTCGAAGAACCTGAAAACGGAAGGGCAGTGTTGTATAATATTTGTCACATCGATGGATAGTCCCAACAACATGTTGGATTCAACCGAATTATTAATGTATATTTACCTGATGTCTCTTTGCTGACTCGATTTTTTATTTTTTGCTTCGTTTGTTTGTTTGTTTGTTTGTTTGTTTTTTAAATTGTTTATTTAACTATCATAAAGTTGTGTGTATGTGTGTAAAGATTTCATCCGTAACAAAACCAAAAAGTTAAAATTTGATATATTAATTTAATTGTGTGAAAAGTGTTAGAAAAAAAAGAAAAAAACTTTGTAAAAAAAAACTTTGAAAAAAAAAAAAAAAAAAAAAAACCAACTTTGTAAAAAAAACTTTGTAAAAAAAAAAACTTTGAAAAAAAAAACAACAACTTTGTAAAAAAAAAAAACTTTTGAAAAAAAAAAAAAAAAAAAAAAAAAAAGGATTGTATTTAATAAATAAAAATGTGACATGTATTTTATTCTTGCACGTTTGGTTTGAAAATAAAATAAGGACAGAAAATATATTAATTTGTGTATGTGTGATTAATGCCTTGTAATGATAGAATAAAATAAGGGGTTATAACGGGATAGGGTCATAGTTAGTTTGGGATTGAACGAGTCAACATCATGGGGGAAAGCAAAGCACGGGTGGATTACTTAAAAACGTTGTATTACGATATTGAAAATGAAACGGGATTGAGTAGCGTGGAAAAACTTTATAAAAGAGCTAAAGCCGAGAGAGTGTTTCAGTTGTCTCGTAAACAAATAAAAGAGTTTTTACAAACCCAGGATGCGTATACTTTACATAAACAAATTAAACGAACGTTTCCAAGGAATCGCGTTCTCGCTATAGCTATTGATGAAATATGGCAAATTGACTTATGCGATGTTCAAAAACTATCGAGTTCCAATAAGGGATACAAATATATTCTGACTTGCATCGATGTATTTTCGAAGTTTGCGTGGGCAAAACCTTTGAAAAATAAAAAAAGTAAAACGATACTAGAAGCATTCCGATCTATAATAAATAGTCAAAAGAGGGCGCCTCTCAAAGTACAATCGGATGAGGGGAAGGAATTTTTGAATCAGGACTTTCAACGTTTTCTTAAAGAAAATGGTATTGATTTTTTTACGGTAAAAAAACGAAACAAAGGCCAGCGTGGTAGAGAGATTTAACAGAACGCTCAAGACTAAGATGTGGAAATATTTTTCGTATCGCAATACCCTCAAGTATATCGATGTGTTGCAAAAGTTAATGACGTCGTATAATAATTCTACTCATCGGTCAATACGCATGAAACCCAGTGAAGTGACTGAGGAGAATGACGGGCAGGTGTGGAAAGCTTTATATGCTGACGTCAGACGCGCGCGCAAACCAAGGTATAAATTTAACGTGGGAGACAAAGTACGGATTAGTATAGCGGCCAGAGTATTTCGAAAAGGATATTTGCCTAAATGGTCCGAGGAAATATTTACCGTAGCCGAACGCAGAGGGCGACAAGTAAGACCGATATACAAATTAAAAGATTATGCAAATGAACTCATTAGTGGTTTTTTATACATTGCATGAATAAAAGAAGTTAATACAGTTTTATGGCTAACTAATTCATTTATTTTTTGTTTTGTTTTGTCTTTTTGTGTATTTTTTTTTTAAATGTTATTTTTATTATTACTTTCACACCAAACGCTCACACTTTAATACAAAATAAAAGTCATACTAATAAAAACCAAAAAACTACGGCACATTTTTAAAACTTTTTACAATTTGATTTACGATAAAATCAACGTCGGAAACGGGAATAGAAATATTGTAACGGGATTCTACAAAGTGATGTACGAATGTGTCGTTAAAATGAGTATCCCTCGTAAACATTCTTAAAATGGTCTTCATTTCTACGTTCCTACAACGATGTAATGCATAAAACAAGCAATATTGTCCGCATACCGTAGTGTTGAGAGATTGAAGACAAATGTCGTTATACATGAACTCAACAGAATTCTTTTTTATAAAACGCATTAAACATTTATTGTACATATGCGGAGAATTACCATAAGAATCAAACAGTTCTGCTTTTTTATCTCCGTCAAAATAAACGGCGATCCAATGACTTCCGGGTTGAGTACTCTTGTCCGTATTCACGATGTACACTTGAGGAAAGCTTGTAACTTTTCCCGGTAATTTATCTACTGGAAAAACCCCGCCGCACTGTTGGTGCGTTATTTTATCGGTCTTTAGAACACGTAGTAATTGTTTTGTATTCATGACGAATAATCAATCAATATATTACGGGATTTGTCAATTTCCAGAAGTGAATCGTACTCCGCATACACAATTACATTTACGGTACTAGCTAGGGGATCCCTGAAGGCTATCTCCAAGCGCACGTTACCGCTTCGTAACAGATTAAAATGTCCGCCCGTACAAAGGTCGGGAGTTAAGTCAAATGCAAACAGCGTGTACCCTTTTGAATAATCAGATCTGGAAATGTCGTTCCCCGAGTTCTGGTGAAGGTTATTTATACCCGAAAATAATGTCTGATAAGCCATGAGAAAATTACTATCAGGTCCGACAAATTTAGGTTTGAGTGGTTTCCATGGTAATTGCTCCCCGTCAATGTATAGAGCTAAAAAGTTTAAATTAAAATGTTGAAAATTATACGGATTCTTAACGTAATCCCCATTGAAAGCCATATTATTTACACATCCGATAACAATGCGCGTGGGAGTTTGGCCAAGGAACATTCTCTCCCTCGTAAACGATTGGTTACCCTGAGGAATGGAAAAGGTTTTGACTTCCACACGGCGTAACGGATACTTTGCCGTTGCCTGTTCCAGCGTTTTTGCATGGGCTAGCGCTATCATGGGGTTGACATTAACTCGCCGTATGTACAGGGTAGAATTTACTATGTGCACTTTGTAATCGGCCCCCTGTGTCGAAGACATTAAACAAAAAGCATCCTTACTCCGATGTAATTTTATTTTCATGTTAACGCCGTTTAACAAAAGTCTATCTTGAAAAAATATATCTGCGTGTATGGGTCCTATTAAATCAATCATCTTGCTTCCTTTTACGTGCGAAAACCTCTGTTTTAATCCTTCATTTCGATTGGCAGCATCGTCGATCGTCGGATCCGATACATCCATTTTTCCCGCGGTGTCTTTGTAAAAAAGCCCCGACGTCAGATGTGAGTTTTTGGCCGCGGGCCCATAACTCAAGAGCGTTTCCAGCATGGCCCTGTACGGATATGTGTTGGTAGAGGGTGTGATAACTCGGTCATTTAAGGACACGTCCACTTCAGAGAAGAGCGACTGCATTGTTAGGTTAATAGGTGCGACTGGTACATCGGGGGCTAAAGCGGCCCCATTACCGTCAACGATTTTAGCTTGGACGTGGAGCATTGTTTGCGCTAAATCCAAGTAAGTCTCGCTGGAACCATTGATTAAAAATTCAATGGGGCCCGAGTCCACGATGTTTGTCAATGGTTGATATTGTACCCACTGTCCCTTGGTGACGCTGGTCTGTGTGGTAGGTACCGAGAACAGATCAAGCTCGGATTTTGTGCACTCTGAAGAATTCTTATGAACGAACGCCATGATGATGATGATGATGATGATGATGATTAGGAATCGAATATGTCAAGTGTCCTCTTCGGACGCTTTCTACTGGATGAAGTGGCAGGTCGGCCACGGCCTTTCCTCTTTATAGGTTTCTTGCTTACTCTGCCTGGTGGGTTTTTTTTCGGGGTGCCGGTAGTGTGACCATTGAGGGCATTGCTCGCCATTTGCAGACCCGTCTGTAGGGCTTGTTTTCCAATAGTCTTGGCCCCCTTGGTAATGACTGGAAGAGCCGATCGAAATAGCCCCGACAGAATTCCGCCTAGGCCATACCCCCTCTGCACCTGCGCTCCTTTGAAATATTGTCCACCTCCAGCTTGAGATTTGTAATACTGTTCGTACGCCGTCATGTTTACTGAAATAAGGACGGGCGAACCTGGCGAAAATGTAACTTCACGACCACCTTTCCTCGTTCAAATGCAAACTTTCTCCCGGTGTCGTCTCTTATATTGATATTTATCGTTTCAAAATGTTTTGTTTTAACTGGAATGTAATGGGGTATGCTGTACGACGTCGAAATCATTTCCCCCGCAGTTTTACTACCTGTCTTGAGTGGGATTATCTTCATCAGGGGGACATTGGCATCGCCTACATATTGTGGTTCTACAACGTCGCTGTACACGTAAAGGCCGTACACTCCCAAGTAAACATCGGATGGTAGAGTCCCCACAATGCTTTCAAAACACGACTTGCGTGGTAATCCAAGTAATTTGTACAAATCGCCGTTAAACAATATGAATGCTCCGGTCCTTAATCTAACTGAAACTTTTCTAGATTTTTTATCTATAGATAAACCTATACTTGATCTTGCTGTTTCAATAAAATTTCCACTGATGGTATCAAGAACTTCCTGCACGGTACTGTAAAAGCCGTGAGGTATTTTTAAGTGTCGGGTAATTCTACCATCCTCAGAGTAAGTCACCGAATTATTTCTATCCGTAATGTTAAAATAACAGTGAGGGTACTGTATTTCGCTAAGACCAACTTCCCATGTACCGTGTAATTGAATCGGGTTAAACAGCCTGGTCGTGAAATCCGATAGTATATTATTAGGATACACAGAGAGAGAAGCGTTGCTTGGAAGCGTTAGATAAAATTGTTCCACCGTCATGATTTACATTTAATGAGCTACTGCGAGGAGAGTGCCTCGTCATCCTTATTAATACAGTTTTGTCACCCAACTGTTAAATTTGGATGGATATCCAAACCATTTGACAAAATATTCCTTTTGACCATTTTTAATTCTCTTTCGAATTACTTTTTCCACTTTGTACGTATCATGATCATGTTTAGAGACTTTTTGCATCTCCTCGGTGTAAAAAAACCCACTAATGAGTTCATTTGCATAATCTTTTAATTTGTATATCGGTCTTACTTGTCGCCCTCTGCGTTCGGCTACGGTAAATATCTCCTCGGACCATTTAGGCAAATATCCTTTTCGAAATACTCTGGCCGCTATACTGATCCGTACTTTGTCTCCCACGTTAAATTTATACCTTGGTTTGCGCGCGCGTCTGACGTCAGCATATAAAGCTTTCC